TAGAAACAAAACTCATGAAATTCAACAACTATTGTCTGACCATAAAGTTCACGTCCTATGCATTACCGAGTCTCACCTGGACTCCACTGTTAGCGATGCTCGAATTAACATACCTAACTTTAATGTTTTCCGCTGTGATCGCACTATACATGGTGGCGGTGTCTGCATTTATGTTCATTCTCACTTTGCTGGAACCGTAATCCAACGATCTACAGGATCTACTGTAGAGATATTAACTGTCCGTATCCGTCTTGCTACCAAGCCACGTGCAACAGACATTAGTGTGTCCACCTTGTATCGCCCGCCGTCTGCCACAGTGAATTTCTGGGACCAGTTGAGCTCTGAACTTGATTTAGCACTTCAAACTCCGAATGCATTAATCCTAGGCGACTTCAATACTGATGTCCTCCAGCCAACGACTCCAGGATATCGCCATCTACAGCGTGTCTGTGCGGAGCATCACCTCAGAAATGTTATCACTGAACCCACTCGTTTAGCACGCACTTGCCTAGATCTTGCTCTGGTTGCAGACGGCTCCCCTGTAGTCAAGGCGGAAGTAGTCTCAATGAACGGTGTTAGTGATCACGATCTCATCATTGTCCAATGTGCCTATCAAAACCTTGAGCCCATTCCTGCGCACACTCACAGGCTGATTCGGAAGCCTGCACCCCATTCTATGGATTTTGACCAATGTGGCCAGGAAATCAGTGAAAGTTTCAGAACTTCGGAGTCGCCCACCAGCCTGGACGGTCAAGTGAAGCAATTTTCCACGTGTTTGAGACATGTTCTGGACAGAAATGCCCCGATCACTCACCTCAAGGTGTCTGGATTTGGCAGGCCTCGTCGGCAACCATGGGTTACGCCACACTTGAAAAAGCTTCTTCAGCTTCGAATAAACTTGCACAGGAAATTACGAAGGAACCCAACCGACGGCCCCCTCCTCCAGCAGTACCGGGCAGCACGGCGCGAGGGAACCATCTTGAATAAGAAACTCAAAACAGAATACTGCGTGAAGGCATTCAACACCCACAAACGGAACCCCAGAGCCCAGTGGCAAATCCTGAACAAGCTTGCAGGACGAGAAAAAGTCAAATCACTACCTAAGGCGACTATATCCGACCTGACAGCCACATTTGCAACCGTAGTTTGTGATCCTGCAAGACCGTCTGAACTTGTTCTACCTAGCCCACCAGTCGACATTCCCACTCTCGACGAGTTTACGCCAGTCACAGTAGAGTATGTTGAAGATGTCTTGAAGTCATTGAACAGCCACAAAGCACAAGGTTCCGATGAAATACCACCATGTCTCCTCAAAGGATGCCGCACAGAGATCGCTGGCCCACTCACCGCTATCATCAATAAGTTTCTGCATACAGGCCAAGTTCCAAGTAGTTTTAAGCATGCACACGTGTGCCCACTCTACAAAGCTGGCGACGCAACTATTGGCTCCAACTACCGACCAGTGTCACTTTTGCCAGTGATATCCAAAGTGCTTGAGAAGGTAGTACACCGACAACTTGTTGCATTCTTCGACAATCATCCGGAACTCGGTGCACTACCGGAGGAGCAGTTTGCTTACAGGCGCAATCACAGCTGTGAAGACCTTTTGGCGTATGCAATAAACGACTGGCAGCTGGCCTTCGACAAGAAGCAGCTGTGTGGAGCCATGTTTGTAGACATGAGCAAGGCCTTCGACCGCGTTCAGCATAGCAAGCTCGTGCAGGAACTTGCTTCAGTTGGCGTCGGAGGTGTGGCATTGCGTTGGTTCGCAGACTACCTTACTGGGAGAACCCAGCAGGTCGTTGTCGGCGATGCCCGAGGCAGTACAGAGCCCTGCTCACGTGGTGTACCACAAGGCTCCGTGTTAGGCCCCTTACTTTTCTGCATTTATATCCGGCGCACCCCTCAGAAATTTCAACATTGCCGTGCTCTACTGTTTGCGGACGACATCGCGTTCTACGTCATTGGTCGCAAGGCTTCAACCGTGCTCAGAATGCTGCAGACAGATCTCTTAAATCTGGATGACTTCCTCAGCGAGCGGGGACTGGTGCTGAATCCCAAAAAGTCTCAGCTACTGCTGCTCAGACGACCTACTGCGCAACTGGACGTGATCCCCAGCATCACCTGCAAAGGCACCGTAATCCCCGAGTCCAGCCATGTTCTGTACCTTGGCCTCCTATTGGGCTCGTCGCTCAGCTTCGAGCAGCAGGTTGAGCGTGTGTGCGCAAAGGCACAGTGCAAGGTTGCCTCATTCCGCCACGGGCGCCGCGATGTCTCCATGACCGGCCGCCGCATGTTTTACCTGACAATTGTCCAGAGTACGTTGGACTATGCCAGCACATGTTATGTTCACTGCTTGTCTGCTAAACTCAGAGACAAGCTTGAGTCAACCAGCAATAGGTGCCTAAGGCGAGTGTTTGGCCATGATCAGTATACTTCTATCGATTTCATTCTCCCCAAATATAACCTGTATACTTTCTCTCGCCGTGTAAACTTGAAGCTGTTTGTGTTTGTTTTTAGGTGTCTATCTCGTTGCACCAGTCCTCTTTTAAGCACGATATTTACCCCCCGCTCTGCATCATGCCGCACAAATGCTGCTACCCGCGGTCAAGCTTCAGCTGCTCTGAACCTACCCAGAGCTACGTCTCGTTACGGCCTGAATGCTATTTCATTTTTGGCAGCAGACAGATGGAACATGCTTCCACCTGGATGTCGTCAAGCTAAGCCCCTTTCTGCATTTGTCACAAGCACCAAGTCATTCCTAGGGTTCCCAGTAAAAAGGCAACGCCTGTTGGGAGTTCCCTAGTAAAATAATAAATTCTTCTACTACTACTACAAGATGAGAAATGAATACGCACTATTCCATTTATGGGTCCTAGAAAGGCAAACCAGAAGTAAAGTTCAAAAAACCCACTTTTTACAGCATTGTGTACACCGGGTACAAGCTTCACCAACTTGTTACCCCCATGGGCCCCCCAAAAAAGCTGATCGCATGCATGAGCAAACAGAATTTAGCACTTTTTCAGCTAAAACAGCTCAAAAAGGGCGATATTCACCAAAAACGCAATAAAGGGCGAAAGAAACGGGCATTTCCAAAAAGGGCCAAAAAGGACGAAAAAAGGGCGAGCACCTTTGGGAAAGGGCTACACTTGTAGGCATTTCCCAAATCGGCCGGCCGAAAAATTATATCATACATAACGTTTGGCCTTACACAGGTGTACGAACCAAGAAACCATGGCTTCACAGCGCCCTGATTTCCTTACAGAAATGAAACCACCTGTGACTGTGCTGGAAATCCAAAACTGCATTATAGAACGAATGAAATTCGGTGTAACCTGCATGGAATCCCTTTTGTCAAGGCCCGCGTCTGTACATGTGCAATCATAATCACTGAGTGTGTGTCGTAGCGCTAAAACTAATACCGGTAACAGTATTGACATTATCCAGCGATTCGCAGCGCGGCGTGACTGTACATCACCGACCCAAGTACAGTTCATGATTCAGACAAGGGAAATCACAGGTATTAGTACTAGACCGCATTAGTTAGAACCGCCGCGGTCCGTTTGGATTTGGTAGTAGCCTTACTCTATACTACTATAGTGTTCAGCGCCCAGCACTACTTTATCATGATGCGTCGATGTCGAGTTCATTTTCGAATTTCAGGATTAATGTGTGCGTTTCACTTCATCGTGTAGACAGCTGTACTACATAATAGCGAGGTTTTGCATTCCGAAATTCGGCAAAAAGATTTGGCACGCGGGAGCGAGGTCGAAAATGCACACGAAGATTCGGCGTGTTTGTTCGGAAAAAGCTCACTTTGCCGAAAATATTTTTCGGATGCATTTTCTTGTAGAAGAGCGCTAGCGCGTGATTTATTCAAAGAGGTTTCTTATCTCGGCATCGTTTGGCAGGCGTCTTTGGCGACATAGCATCGTCAGCTACCTCTGTAGTATCCCTGCCCGACCAATACGGAAGTAGTACGGAACTAATACGGAGCTTTGCCTGATGTATATTTAGTGTATCTCCGTATGTAAGCGTACGGCGTCTGCTGCATAAAAGCGGCTGCGCATTTCTGTTTTGATGAAGATGAGATTTTGATAATAACGAGCTATTCAACCTCCAGGTGTGCACCGGAGAGAAAGTCAGTTATTTTGCCGCTTCTTCTTTCACTAACAATTATATCTCAGGTGTGTACCTGAAAGAAGTAGAATAAAAGTAATTCTTGTTGATTTCACCGCGCCTACCACTCGGCCATTCATTACATTGGTGGCAGCGGTGTAGTTTTAAATAAAACAACGTGATTCGACCCCAGACACCTCTGATTGCTCCTCTCCACTGCCTGTCTACTCTCTTTCGCCTGGAGTGTCCTCACCGTCATCTGTGTGGCTGAAAAGACTATGGCGACACGCATAAAATTTGACTTGGCCATGGAGTTGGTTTTTCTGAGGCGACTGAGGAGGCAGGTTTGGCCCTTGACTCTTTGGGCGATCAAAGTTCATTGGAATCAGCAAGAAAAGGAGCACGGGACAGGACGTTGCTGATGCTGGGGCTCACGAAATGAAAACACATCATTTTCGACTTGCAAAACAAACGTTGGTGCGAAAATTCGACATTTTGATGTTCGACAAATGACCGAAGAACGCTGTACCGAAATTCGGAATGCAAAACCTCACTAATCATTGCACGCGTCTACGTGTCACAGGGCACAGCTAGCATGCAGCATTCGCTTGTGCATGCATCGTCACCATGGGTGATCTCATCTGTAATGGCATTTTGTATGTATTATGCGTAGTTCTATCGATTTCAGAGCAAAACGTGAGGAGTTTTGCACCAAAGGACACGGTTTCACATCCTCGTGCGGATTGCCGAAAACACGAGCACTGCTAGTGCTAGCAAGTGGTGCTGCCTGCAGTGCTGGGCGGTGCCAGCTGACACCTCGTCATGAGTTAGTCGCACCAAATAATTATTGTACTTCAGGCTTCAGCAGAGGTCGCAGAAGCCAGGCATATGCACACGCTACAGCGGCAAGGGCTAGGGCGACGCTTGACATGCACCTAAAATTGCCTTCCCCCGATAATGCTGAGGTTCTTTTGGGAATAGAGTGGACATTCCTCTCTGGTCGATGTCCCGAGTTTAGGACCTCGTAATCAAGACGAATGTCCTTTCCACCTGAGTCGTAGGCTAGGCTAAGCAGAGTAGCGTGTGCTTGTTATTCAGCCAAACAGTTGAAACACGGAGATCTCGCTCAAATTATCCTTCCAAGGTACTGCGGCCATTCATTCCACCCACCTGTTTTGTGGACAGAGCTAGACAGACAGAGAGAGGTAGAGACAGGGAGAGGATTTCCAACATCTGGATTTACTGATTGTTTCCAGAGGAGCTGAGGAGTGTACCAGCTGGACGCCAGGCAGGGAGGGCTACCGCTGGCATAGAGACCAGGAAAGGAGGTAAGGAAGAGTATGTTGCATTGACTATCACACGCGTCAAGAAAATTCACGATGTTGCATTGTTATCCACTTTGTCATTGCAAGACTCGTTCGGTTATTCCCGCGCTAATCTAGTACCCAGTTTTCCCTCGTGAATGAGTGAGCTACGAGAATTACTGGGCCTTTTCTGAACTAAACGAGCGAAGAAGGAGCGCAGGCATATGATATGGATATGTACATGTATGGCCACCACGAAGAGTGGGCTAAACTAATTAATGAGTTCCCACATAATTATTATGGTCTCCGTTTGGATCAGCCTGAACGATGTGTGTGTTGGGGGGGGGGGGCATATTTACTTGGGAATAATGGCATGTGCTGTGTTAGAGTGTCAGTTTATCTGTGTGTTTGTGCGCGTGTGTGTGTGTGTGTATTTGTGTGTGTGTGCGCGCGTGCGTGCGTGTGTGTGTGTGTGTGCGTGTGTGGTGTTTCCATGGAAATGTACAGTGCTGGTCAAAGAAATCCAACCTCATGAATAAAGTTGCGCCGTGTTTTAGTGCACAGACCAGTGTGTGTAATGCACAGACTAGTGTGTGTAGTGCACAGACTAGTGTGTGTAATACATAGACTAGTGTGTGTACAGACTAGTGTGTGTAGTGCACAGACTAGTGTGTGTAGTGCTAGGCTGCATAGCGCCTGGCGCTATATTTTATTCACGAGGCTGGATTTCTTTGGCGAGTACTGCACAATCTAGTGTGTTAACTATTATCAGTGTCTGCTCTCGGATTGTAGGACAGCCGGGCACACGTGTACCTGGCGCAACCATTTGAACCCGGTCGGAGCCGGGTACACATGTATTCGATGCGCGTCTCTGCATGATATGTCACACATACAAGCCATGTAGTCAGTCCTTTCAAAGTTCGAACGTGTAAAGTACCAACCGGGTCACAGGTGACCCGGTACTATATTTTCAACCGGGTCCAAGCGCCGCCCAACCGGGTCGATTACCCGGCTCACCCGGCTCTGGAGAAGACTTTGAATATAGCTTTCATGGCTGAGGTGGCAATGTCTGTTGGCTCTGGGTTCCTAGTACTCAGTTGCCGGGACTCGTTGGTACAGTAACTAAATTTATACAATGAGACAGTTTGTACACTGGCATTTATGCACTAGTGCACTAAGATGCATTACGCACAAATTTGGAATCGCCTATTGATCTGGCATGGAAAAGTGGAAGAAGGGCTGAGGCTTCCTGCAGCTTCATCTCTGAAAGGAATTTGAGTGGACACACTCATTCTCATAGCGCTGCACATCGCATCCGAACCAGTTCCGTTATTTTTACGTTTCGGCACTCGGCCATCGTCAGGTAATAACAATGAATACCGGTACCGTGGATGCCACACAAGAGCAGTATATATACGCAGAGATTGCAGCACCAAAAAAACATGCGAATTATGTCACCTAGTATGCAGAAGGGGGGGGGCAGAGAGAGAGAGAAGGTGACATATCTCGCATCTCGTTACGCTACACTACTCGTTACGCTACACTGTGCGTAACGCCATGGCACGCGCCCTCACTTCTCAGAGCACAATGCAATGGCGCGCTACTTTCTGCTGCTTCTTCTCCGTGATGTGCTGGTTGCACCTTCTTTCTCTCTCTCTCTCTCTCTCGAAGATATATCAGATTGCCTGTTCAGTCTGCAGGTTGTGTGCGCATTCTGGGATGACGAGAACTATTTCGTGGCGCGAAACCAGGCATGGTAAATCTATATGCCTGACCTTCTGTGAGACTTCTGGGAACACACTCAAGTACGTGTGGTGCAAAATCCACATGTGGGATTCATACAATCTGTGGATTTCGCTGAAAACCTGAAGAGTCGTGAAGACTACAGGTAACTATTGTGGGGCGCAATCTGTGAATCTGTGGATTTCATTGAAAAACATGAAAAAAATCGACGGGTTCGCGTACCGGGCAGGTCAAGAACAAGGAGTCGTACAACTCCCTGGTCAAGAACCACCTTTCCGCTTCCGTGGGACGCCACCACCCCATGATCACGCATCAGATGCGACTCCTAAACGGT